GCAAATTTTTTAAAGACGGCAGAGGCAGACAGATTTTTATTATAAATTATATTTTTACTACAAATTATATTATGAGCCCCAGAGCTGAAACCTGGGTTCAGCTCAGCTCTTGCAAAGTCAGGAGAATGAGCAGCACCGGTGCTACAGCCGCGAGCGACTCAGCCCTTGCAGACGTAGCAGTTCCCAAAACTCGGGCCGTGCTCAGGCATGGATTGATTGTGTACCAAAAAGTCAAGGTGCAAACATTGATCATGCAGAAAAGTGCTGGTCATCAGCCAACAATAAGCGTTCCCCAGCCTAAATTATTAATTCCTTTATGCACGCCAAGCGGATTGCGCTGGTCGTGTACGTCCCCTTGCACAGTGGTTGCGCTTCATGCCGTAGTATATTTTCCCTCCAACAACTTGTCTGGCTCTTCACTTAATAAAGATTGAGAGAGACAATAAAAACATTCATTAAAGAGGAAAAAAATAAAAGATGAAGCTCTGCTTGTAGCCTCTAGCAGTTGGTTTCATTAAGCAATTGCTTCTCCCAAACCCTCCCTGGGTGGTTCCCGGTGCTGGTACCCAGCCCTGGGTTTTGGGGATGCAGCACAGGGCTGGGAAGCCCTGGGATGCTTGGCTGAAGGCCACAGAATCAATGGGGTAACTAGGAAGGGCAAGAAAGTGTCTGGGTGATGAAAAAGGAAATTAGCAAAATGAGCTCTTGGGGGGAAAAGCAGCTGTTTGGATGGGGTTATGCAGGGTTAAGATGCTATTTTGTGCTGTGTGGAACATCGGGCTGGTCTCCTGCTCTTCCCAGATCCTCCACTGCTGTTCAAAGAGGGGAAAGTGTTCTTTCAGCTGTGGGTACTGAGGATGGGAGCATCCCAGCAGGACTGTGTCAGGGCTGGGGTCGTGAGAAGCAGCCAGGGGAGCAGGGGCTGCGTGGGGCTGGGTTTGGTGGGTGTCTCTGCTGTAGCTGTGTCAGCTGAAACAGCATAGATGGTGTTTCTCAGGGCGTTGATTCACTGATGGGGCAGCCAGGAACGCCCATGCACAGTAAGGGCTCTGATCCCACAGCACTCACTGTCACTGGTGGGGTGGGGGAGCAGGGACAGAGAGGACTTGCTGCCGTCAAAATGCTCATCAACAGCACTTGAGTCTGTGAATTGGTCGTGGGAGGCCTGTTCTGCCCCCAAACTGTGACATCTGAAACGAAATGTGCGTTTTCTCTCCGGTTCCAAGGCATGAGAAGAGCTTTGGATCTTGTTGCGATTTATCACTCAGCCCCGAGCCAGATGCCTATATGGGTTCCATCTACGGCTCCCAGAACTGATAGAAATATTATCCTGCCTTATTAAAATCACCCACAGCTACTGCAGCTGTATGTCAACAGCAAAACAAATAGCGACTGGTTCCCATCGGGTTGGAGCCTCTCTGCTGAGACTGTCTTCCATCCTCCTCCTGCCAAAGTGGTTACAGATGTAGGCTTTTCCCGTTGCAGCTCCGAGCAGCTCCTGTACGGCCGATTCCAAATCCCATTACCACGCCAGAGCCGTCTTTGTTGAGCATCGGCTCCGCTAAAGCTCCCCCTGATGTGAAATATTGCTCACAGTGCTTTTCCTAGAAGTACTGCTAAGGAGGAGAGTGCAGTGCTGTGCTACCCCAAAAGACCCCCTGAATGGGGTGGGGAGAGGAGATCAAGAGGGCTGTGCTGGGATGAAAGCAGGGCTGCCTCCTCCTCCTCCTCAGGTGTCCCTGCCAGGAGTCTGCTGAGTAATTTGCTGTACGTTGCATCTGCTGTTGAGGGCATAACTGATGATGCAGTGCATGAGTCCCTTTCCTCTTGCTCCTCCAGAGCCACTACAGCCCTAAAATTCCTGCCACCACCCAACCTGTCCCTGGCTCACCCCCATTCCTCTCTCCTGTGCTATCTTTGGTATAATTAGGAGGCCAGGACTGTGCATGTGAGGTGACTGTGACCTCATTAGTTTCTTATGCTGTATTGAAATTTCTACTCATTTGCATCCCAAATCCCTAAATGTGCAGCTGTGGTCTCCAGGGTCACTTTTAGCTGCTTTACATCCTTCTCACCAAGGCTCCAGGCTGGAGCTCTTCTCAACAGTTTGCTCCACTTCTGTCTGGAAGCTGAATGAACCCCCCTCAAACAAGCTCCCTTGTTTCAGGAAGACAAATTCCTGGTCTAACCTGGGCAGGTGGGAAGGGCTCCCTGGGGAGATGCCCTGGTCTGGGGCAGTGCTGGGAAGGGGCTTCTGGTTTAACTCCTCTGCCCACCCAAGTGAGATGGGGGATGACAAACACCCCAGCTGGGCTGTGACGGGCTCTGGACTCTCACCCCTCTGAGATCCACAACCAAGATCACTCTTCCCTAGCAAGAGCATCTTTTTAGTTTAGTGTTTGCTGATGCCAAAATCCTGTTAGACTGGTGGTACTGGCTTGATCCTCCTGATGTCTGGGTGCTTCACTTGAAACTTAGAGGATATATGGCTCTGTCAAGCCTTTTTTCTTTTTCTGTCCTAGTTGGAGGGAGAATGCTATTGGAGATGGGAAGGTTTGCATTGTCTCTCCTGTGTGATGTTGGATCCCTTTATAGGGCAGGTATCTTCTAAAGCAAAATGCTTTCAATTCTCACAACGAGCATAATTCTTGAAAATGTATGCAATAAACAAAACGAGCCAAATGTAATTAAAATGGAGACAGCATATAATCTGGTAACCCACTTAGAGGCTCAAAGCTTCAGCTTTTAAAAAAATGTTTGCTCCAAATCCATTTAAATAAACAGACCAGCACACAAAGGCTCTCTGTACATTATCATGATACAAAGAGAATCGGATCAAAAGCAGCTGTGACCAGGCTGTACATATGTAGCGAGGAAATTGCTTGATCTAAGACTGCACCTTGTACATGCAAATGTGTTTGTGGACCTTCCTGGGAATTGTATTTGTACTACAGCCGAGCTGTCGGGCTGTGCTGTGCCAGGAGGCAAAGGCTGGTGTGTGCCCCACCATGGGAGGGTTGGCTGGGGAATGAGGGAGCTCCGGGTGTGCTGTTGTGTCCGCTTGCTTTGGCTGGAGCAGAGAGAGGCCAAGGACCAGCTGAGCCTGCCCTTTCCATGGGTGCACACACTGCATCTGGGGGGGGGGAATTGCTCAGAAACCTGTGAAAGAAATGGGAGTCCCTGTCCTTAGCACCTGGGTCACGGGCCCTCCGTGCGCCTGGTGTCACACATGCCATGTGCTGTCACACTTGTGTCCCCCTGGGCTTGCAGGAGGGTCTCCTGGCCCTGGGGGGGGCTGTGGGGTTTGCATCTCCTCCTCTGCCTGGACACCATCTCTCAGCTCTGCAGCAGAGCCCGGCTGGCCTTGAAGTTTTGCCAATAGCCATGTGATTTGTCTCGGGCTGGACAGCACAAGCTGTGAATCCAAGATCGAGTATGCTCCCAGGCCAGCAGCATTTGGCCAAGAGAAGGCCTTTTGGGTCAGACAGGAGCATCTGCCTGTTGTTCTTGCAGGTGGTTTGGACTAGCTGGAGCTCTTGGCATATAGATGTAAATGTGATGCGGGGGGCTACTGGGGAAGGGTGAGAAAGCTGTTTCTAAGGTGGCAAAAAATCTTAAGCATTTAGAAGCAGGGTTCTGGCTCAGCCTGGGGACGTCTGCACTCAAAATGAGGATTGCTGGCAGAAAATCTGTTACTCTGGTCCCGCTGGAGGAAGGTGTCTGGCTCGGCGTGCCGTGCCCCCTGGTCGGGCCGTGTGTTCCCCCCTCCCCGGGGATGCTGGCGGCACGGTCCCCGCCGTCGGGGCCGGCTCCCGCCGCGGCCGGGACTCGCACCGGCAGAGGGAGCTCCGGCCGCGTCCTCCGAGCAGGGGGGACCGGGGGGGACCCGCTGCTCCCGCGGTTGGGGGATGGCGGGTCCCCCTCGCCTGCTCGGGGCCGGGTGCCCCTGCGAGCTGCTGGCCAGGATCGTGTCCCCACGCAGCGTAGGGGCGACCGGCTCCAGACGGGGTGGCCCCTCGCCAAGGGGCGGGGGGTTGGTTGGCACCGGGAGGTGACCCACATGCGCCGAGCCCAACAGCACGGTCTTCGCTCGCAAGCGGTGGGGGACGGGGCGGGGGGCAGCAGGGCGAGGGTCTTGAGCAGGGTTTGGGCGGCACACGGGAGGGCTCTGTACCGGCTCCTGCTGCCCTCGACACCTTGGCCCCGGCGGGCCTCGCTCGCCTGCGGCTTTTTCCTCCCCATCTCTTCGCCCCCCGCCCCATCTCTTCCTTCTTGCCTCTCACCGGCTTCCCCCTCTCCCGGTGCTGCAGTGTCCCACTGGGGGCTGCCTCCGCCTAACGCAGCGCAGGGCTTTCCCCCTCCTCCCCGCCCCCGGCGCTGCAGGTCCCCGTTCTTCCCCCGGATTTCCCCCCAGGGCAGGGGGTGCCCGGGCCCGACCCCCGCCGGGTGCGCCCCGTCCATCCCCGCCGGGGACCGTCCTGCCCGTCCAGCTGTGCCGCCGGGACGGACACCCCCGGCAGCCAATGGGGAGGAGCGGAGGGGCCGGGGGGGAGCCCCCATTGGCGGCGGGGGGAGGAGGAGCCGGGACTTGAAGTTGGAGTGAGGGATCCAGCTGTGCGGGAGCGCTCGGATCGGCGCGGCCGCCGCGGGAGCATCCTCCGCCGCCGCCCGCCCGTCCCCGCGGCGCCGGGCAGCATCCCCCGCTCCCGGGCAGATGCTGGGGCGCGGAGGGGGCAGGCAGAGCCGCTAAGGCGGCCCGCCCCGCGGGTGGGGGCCAGCAGCCGGCAGCGGGGGCCGCCCCGCCGCCGCCTCCCTGCCCGCGGCTCGCCCGGCTCGGGCCCCCGGAGGCACGGCGAGGAGGAGCTACGGAGCCCGCAGACGGCAGGGCAGGGCGAGGGGGGCGGCCCGGCCCCGGCCCCGGCGGGGGGCGAGGCAGCGGCTCGCCCGGCCATGCCACCCCGGCGCTGAAGCCGCCCCGCCGCAGCCCCCAGCCCCCCGGCCCCGCCATGGCCGCGCCCCTCTAGGCGTCCCACCGGCTCGCCCCGCGTCGCCCCGGCTCCCCCGGGGCCGCCGGCCGGAGGATGGACGAGGATGGACCGCGAGCGGCCGAGGAGGATCCGGAGCCGGGCAGAGCCAAGACTTTCATCCGCCTTAATGACCTGTCCGGGGCCGGGGGCCGCCCGGGGCCGGGGGACAGGGAGGCGGGCAGCGGCGACTCAGAGGCGGAGGCGCTGCCCTACCCGGCGCTGGCCCCCGTCGTCTTCTTCTACCTGAGCCAGGAGAGCCGGCCGCGGAGCTGGTGCCTCCGGCTGGTCTGTAACCCGTATCCTTTGCAGGTGTTCGGCGGCGAGGTAAGCCCCGCGGGGCCCCCCCGCCCCCGGAGCGCCGGGCAGGGCGGGGGCCACCTCTCGTCTGGAGCCCGCCGGGTGATGGGGAAGGAGCGGGGGTCTGGGAGGACCCGTCACCCGCCGTCCCCGGGAGAGCGGGGGGGGGGCACCCGGCGGCGCTCGCCCCCTCCCCCGTGCTCTCCCGGGAAGTTTTTCCGGGCTGTTGCAGGGGCTCGGCGGTGCCTGTCGGGGTCCGGGGCTGAAGAGGGGGCTGTGCGGGGCTCCCCTCCTGCGGAGCTCCCCTCCCCCGGCCGCCCCGCCGCGATGCCGCGGCTCCCGCTGGATCCGTCGCTCCGCTCCACGGGGAGTCGGAGCAGGAGCTGCGGGCGGCCCATCCTTCCCCGGGGATCGGCGGCCTCCGGTCCCGCTCCTCTGACACACCGAGCGACCCTAACATCGAGCACCCCCCCTTGCAGACCCGTCCTTCCTCCCTGACCCCGTTTCTCTCCCGTCTCCGGTCCCTTCTTCGAGGGTTTGGAGGGGGGGTTGCAATCTGAGGGGAGGTGGAGGTGTGTGTGGGGTTGGGTTGCTGCCCAGCTCCAGGGTCCCTAAATAATTCAGGGTGTTCAAGGCCGCTCGAGGGGGCTCTGCAGTCCCCCGGGGGGTGCTCCTTGCTTGAAGGGGTCAGGGCAAGCTGGGGGTCACAATCCCTGGGTGTGTGTGGGCCAAGGGCAACTGTTTGTCAGGTCCTGGGGTGAGCTGTGCCTCCCCAAAAGCTTCTGGTCTCCTTCTAAACTCCCTATCTGCTCCAGCACAGGCTCTGAGTCTGAGCCGCTTTAGTCAAGTTTAAGCTTTCAAAAGAAGGGGGAAAAAATTAAAAGAAACAGAGGAGACAATAGAAAAATTTCTTCTTGCCACACTCTTTAAAGCCTCCCTTGGAGTTGAGTTGCAACCAGCACACAGTTTGTAGCATTCCAAGTATTTTACCATCCCCAAACTCCAGTTCCATTATGGAACGGAATGAAATAAAGCGCAGCGCTGTGGCTTCCAGCAGGGGCTGGTGCGGGAGAGGCAGCGCTGCCCGGGAAGTTACCGGGTCCGTGCTGCGCTGCCGGCGCGAAAGGCAGGCGACCAGGTCTGAGCAGCAACCCCACATCTGGAGGGGGAGACGCTGTGCAGTAGCGGGGAGGACATGTTACATGGTATAGAGGGCCAGAATAGCCTGGTGCGAGTCCTCCCCCACTCCTGGTGTTCGGGAACTGTTAGGAATTACATCTCCGCTGAGGTTGGTGTGCCTGGGAAGAGCAGCGAGGGTCTGCTGGAGTTGTGGATATTGTTTTACTTGAGCTTCAGCAATGATTTCACTGGTAAACAGGCTGCCTTCTTTCCTAAAATGTCCCCCAGGAGGGAAAAAAACTAAGATTTCTCTTCCCAGTCATGAATACTCCCAGCAGTTTCCCCCTCAAATCTCTTTCACACCAGCTAAGCACTTCAAAGCTGCGTTTATTTAAACATCTTAGAAATCTTGCAACTTTGTGAAGCCTTCTGTTTTGGAAAGAAATATTAACGACAGACGACAGGCTGCAAGTCAGTGTGTTCTTGTTACCTACTATGACTAATATTATTTATGAATGCTGGTTTAAATATGTTTCCAAGTCTCTCTGTTCTTTTTTTTTTCTTTCATTTTTAATCTTTGTAATAATGTTTTGAATCTGGTGTTAACACCTGCATGGTTTTAGTGTTTTCGGTAAAATTTCCTACTCCAATAACGGCTTGAAATGTGTTTTCTCCTCTGTGGCTGGAAATACAAGCTGATTAACTTTTGTCCTTGGAAAATTAGTGGTATTGTGGGCACCTGCAAGCACCACCGCAAGCAGGGGATGAGCATTAGGTGCAGCCCTGCAAGCTGGGATTTTTCTAGTCACCAGTTCCTCGCTTGTTACCGACAGAGAAAGGCGCTTGCTGGGAGCCCTGGGGCCAGCGGGGATGATGCTGTGGGTCTCTGAGTCGTGTGGCTGCATGCAGCTGTTTGTTTTCAGGGTCACTGACCCAGAATTGGGGGAGTTTTATTTAAAAACAACACCAAAAAAAGTCACTTCAGCCTACAGATGAGAGAGAGGCAGTGGTCGGCTTGGCACCCACACTGTGTCCTGTCACTCACTGGGCTGTTCGGCAGAGCATCTTCTCACTCGTCCCTTCGGCTCTCTGCAGCCCCAGTGCTGGAGCTGAGCCTGTTCTTTGTTTATATTTGTTACTTTTATTGTTTTCCTTTAGTGTGGTGGGGCAATAGAGTGGTCCTTCTCAGGCTGTAATCTTCTAGGAATTGTGCCCCAGTGCTAAAACCATATGATCACGTTGCTGGAAAGTCTTTGTTGCCACCAGCTGCCCTGGAGAGGAGCAGCAGTGCTTTGGCTCACATGGCTGGTGAATCCTGCCCCAGCTCTGGGGGGTTTGGAGCTTTCACTGGCTTCTGCCACTCTCATGGGGGGTTTTTACTTTTCTGCATCTGCTCATGCAGAAACTGGATGGGAGGGCTCTGGTTTGAGCTGTGCCTGTGGAGATGCGCAGCTTGGGGCTTGGCCAGGTGGGTTTGTGCTGCTCTAATCTGGCTGATAAACCAACTTCACTGCTGATGGGGCATCAGGAGGAGGTGCAGGACCCACTCTTGCCCCGGGAAGAACAGCTTATGCCCCCAGGGTGCATCTGGAGCACCTGGGATGCTGCCCTCCATCCCTGTCCAGGTTGTTTGTGTAGGTGCGGCAGTTGAGGCTGAGGTGGGGTTAGGGAAGGGCGATGGTTGAGGTGCTGAGTATCCAGTAAGGATGCAAAGTTCTGTCAAAGTGGTTTGTTGAGCTCTTCTGCCATGTTTCTGTTCAGAGTATCCTCTACCTGGATCAGGGAGCTTTTTCTCTTGCTGTCTGGTGCGGAGATGGGGGGATACTGTGCTGCTCTCCTGCTCCTCCTCTCCCTTAGGGCTAGAAAGAGGTCATGAAGTTTGTCCTAATCCAGGAATTCTCCAGAGCCTGAAATCTTGGGGTTTTTAACTCTAAACACGTATCATCCTGTGAAGCTGTTCTCCCCCTGCACTCCATCCTGGTCTTTGAGCAAAAACCTCTTTGAGTGCTGCGAGGAACTGGGGGGATGAGCCTGGTTACCCACCTGCATATTCCCAGTGGCTCTGGGATGGAAGGTTCTGTGCTGAGTGAGAACTGCCTGGGTCAAAAGGGAAGGAGCAGGGACATGTTTAATGGTCACAGTGCTGGACTTACAGGCTCAGCAAGATGGGAAGGACTGTGGCACATGCAGGGTGTCCTGATGTGCGTGCTGGAGAGGCTGTGAGAGGAGAAGCAAGAGTCTCGTGGGGGAGAAAAGAGGAGGCAAGCTGGTTACTTGACTTTCAGTTCTAAAATAAAAGCACTATGAAGGCTGGGAGGATGAAAGGCTGTAGCAGGGTCTGTGCCAGGCTACTCCTCTGATCAGAGACAAGAAACGAGGCTATTTCTTGAGAGTTGAGGAGTGATTGAAGAGCGGGGATGGAGAAAGTGGGGAGGATGCTACTGCTTGGCGTTAAGAGCTCTGAATAGAAAAATAACAGTGCAACTGAAAGGGCCTGTGATATCTATTGTAGTACTGAGAACTGCCTCGTCCCCCGCGCTGTGCCTGCCTGCAGAGCGCTGCTGCCTGGAGAGCAGCACACGGCAATGGGGGGCTGCAAAACCTTCTGGAAGGTGCTCTTCTGGGGAGATGCCCCCCAAATTGGTTGAAATCCCATCTTTTCCTCCTGGTTTGGAGGGTGAAGGGCAACTCTGTAAATTCCCTCACTGGGGAGGGGAGGTTTGGGTGGCGCTGGGAGGAGTGCTCCCATCCCGCCTGGCTGCTCTGCAGCACAGTCCCTGGGATTTGGGGTTTGAGAATGGCTTTAGCAAAGAAACACGTCTTGATCTGGTCACGGAAGCCAGCCCTGCTTTCTGTCTGCAATAAAACGCAGAGAACTGTTCCAGCAGCTGCCTCACATGGCCCCATTCACTCCCCAGTAGGGAGAGGTCAGAGCTCAGTCCTGGGGAGGTGCTGAGTGCCCCCAGCTCTCGCTGTAAGTCAGCAGAGCTGCAGATGCCCAGTCACCTCCAGGAGTGGGTCCGGAGCTCTTGTGGCCTCACTCCAAGGCTTATATGAGGTCTGTGCCAGGGTGGCTCATGGGGTGGCTGAAGCTGCTGTGTCGGAGCTTGGTGCATCCCAGAAGGCAGCGCTGGCCCTGCTGAGGGGATGGTCAGACCTTGCCTGCTGAGCTCACCCTGAGCACTGGTGGTCTGTGTGTCAGCCCTTCTCTGCATTGGCCTGGCCGGATCCAGCTCTTCTGGAGGGGCATGTCCATGTGTCCAACTGCACTGGAGCCAGGATCCTCCTGCCTGGTGGGGATTAGAACTGAACCTGCTGAGCTGTGGTTTGGGCTCCCCAGCCCTGGCGGTGCCCCCCCGCAGCTCTCCCTCCTGTGGAGATGCGATGAGGGCAGTGGGTGAGCAAAACCCCCGTCACCTCATGGGAACTTGGGGTCCTCACTCCCTTTTTGGCTCTGCCGACTCATGGGGGTAGCCCAGAACTTCTTGTGCTGCTGTTTGTAGGGTTCAATGTACTGCAGGGTTAAAAATAACACTTTTTTGTTATCAAAAGGGTGTGTTGTGAGGGGAGAGCGCACGTGGTGTCCTTTACACTTCGGTACATTTGTTCCAGCCTCACTTTGGAGTTTAACAAAGCAAAAAGCTTTGATTTGACAGGTCAGACCTGAAATGGATCTTGTTTCGATTTAAAAACCCCACAAAAGAGCCAGAATCCATTTGCTTCACCTGTGTCTGATCCATCCCAGGGCACCTGAGCTTGTTTCTCTCCTGTGACCCAGTTCGACGTCCGGTGCCTCCCACCCCTCCCCAGACAGATGGAAACGCTCCTGCTCCAGCTGAGCCTCTGCCGGCTCTGTGCCCCTTCCCTGGCTTCTGGGGAG